GGTGGGGCGGGGCAGCCCGGCGACGATGGGGCGGCGTCGGGCCCCGGCGTCGGGCTCGGGGGCAAGGGGATCGGGGCGAGGTGCGTTGGGGCGCCCCCGATCCAGATCGCGCGGGGGCGGGGGGAGTGGGGATCGTGGGGAAGGGGGTTAGGGTTTCGGTGCCCCCCGGGAGGGGTTAATGGCCTGGGTCTGGGCCGGTTGGCTAGCTGGGCCGCACGGCTAACTGGGCCAAGGCCCAGTCTGGAGGGGGGTTGTTTTCCTTTTATTTTAGTAATTTTACTTTATTGTTTTATCATTATGCTCATTTAATTTTGTTTTACAAAATATATACAAAAGCACCTAAATTAGTGGGACTAGTTTTACCACTGCCACAAAAAGTCCACACCTAATTAAAATAGTTTAATACTCTATAAATTATGAAAGCCATTTATTAAAATGTTTAAGCTACTGTTTTATTTATTTTAGAGCCTTTAAGAACTTTATCAAAGTTTGGTTTCTCTGCCACAATTACCTATGCAATATTTGGATTACTCCAAACATTTTAGTTTTAATATTTGAAAACTTTTATTGTTTGCCTCTATTTTGAATTTGAATTTGAATTGGTTTCAAACTAACGCGAGATTAGCGACAATAACGGAGGTGACGTGGCGTTATTAGCAGAGGTTACTGTAGCTTGATTATCCGGGCGTCACAAAGCGCATGTACGACAAGTTTGCCGAGCAACATAGCTCCTAGTGCCAGACTCTTGAGAAGATATGTCGATCTAGAGCTTTGGAACCCTAATAGAATTGACTCGAAACGACAACATGAAAAAAGGTGATACGTAGATCAAAACAATAGTGAGATTTTATAGGAATTTTTACCGCGCAGAAGGAGTCACCGGGCAAAAGAAGGGGTCAGGGAGGTGTCCAGGGCTTCCACGAGAGGGGAGGGAGGGAGCGTCCTACCGCACGGGGCCCGTTGGGCCCGGCCCATGGACACCACCTCGGTTGCCTCTTTTACCCAAAAATTCTTATTCATTTCAAAAAACCATGGTTGGAACAGAGGTGGCGCAAGCACGGCAATGCTACGAGATGGTGTGCCTGCCACACCGGATGTGGGTGGCAACGGAGGACGGTTTGGGCAGCGACATCAGGCAACAAAAGGGTTGGAGGAAGACCGCGGCGAAAAGGATATTTATTTTCGAGGCGACTAGCTTAGATATGGTTAATAATATAGCCGTCTACTGGCTATATGATATTGCCATGTCATAGATAGTCATTACTTGTAGCGCTCATACAATAATGTTTGCTATAAGAGTACTACTTTTCTTCACCTTCTCTATTTTTTTCTTCACATTTATTGTATCTACCTAGAAGCGCATATATAGCTAGGCTCTTACACGAGAGCCCACTCCTCGAAGGCAGATTTTTGGTTTGTGGGGACATCTACACCCTATATGTATTTTCTTTAGTAATTCAACAAAAAGTCAAAAAATCCTGAAAATATTTTGGAAATAAACTTGACCTTTTATTGTACCCGTGAGAAAAAATCCACAAAAAATATCTCCCTTTGACTTCTTTTCAAAAAGACAAATTTTTGGCCAAAATAGTGTGAATAGTGGCCTATAATAGCAAATATTTTTTGCCTTTTTTGCTATGAAGTAAACTTTGTTTTTTTCATGAAAATTTATATACTAGTCCAAAAGTAAGTCGAGTTTTTTGTCAAAATAGTTCTTACCTTTTTTACTTTTTATTTAAATATTAAAAATAATCCCCATATAGGGCGCATATACAACCAGGAATCAAAGTGTCACTAGTATAGAAAACAGACCTTATGTTTGGATCATTAGTCCCTGTTTGATTTCGACCCGGGAATAATGTGACCATTAGTCCCAGTTCCAACGGCTAGGAGTGGTCGATGGCACAAGCATCATTAGTCCCAATTCATTTTGTACTTATAGTCCCTGTTTGTGATACAAACCAGGACTAAAGGGATGGGGCAGGCTGGCGTCAGGCTAGGGCCCCACGAGCCCATTAAGTCCCGGGTTGTATCAAAAACCGGGACTAAAGATGTCCATATATAAACCCTTCGTCCAGCCCGAGCCCATTCTCTCTGTTTTCCCCTTTCTCTTCTCTATTCTTCCCCTTGCTCGAGCTCATCCTCCAATTTTGCCAAGATTTGTCAAGATTTGAAGGCACCGCATCTATCCAAGTGTTCACAAAGATTAGCAACTTTGTCCTTTCATCTCTCATTTCTAGATTAGCTCGTGCAATGCTCTATAAGTATAGTGATTTGTGGGTTTTAGTTTGGGAGTAATTATGTGTGAGTTTACTTGATTTATATGCAATTTGAGCTGAAATTAACTTCTTAGTTTGCATATGTGTAGGTGTGGTTTACTTAGTGCCTTTCCGTCCCCGTCCTAACCACCGTACCCGTACCGTCCCGCCGCCGGCACCACCTTGGTGAGCCTATTTTTCTTATCCTTTTTATAAAAAAAAATCTTATTTGTATGATTTAGATAGTTACTTGTATGATTGTTTTTATACATAGTGCCATGGTCTTGATATCCATCCCCGTCGGCCCTCGTCCGGTTTATGATTCAGATGTGGTATATTCTCTTTTACAACTATTTGTTGCATTTCGCGTTTATGACAATTATGCCCATCAAGTTGACATAGATATTTTTATCTAGGAGGTATGTGAACCGGAAATTGCAACCAACCTTCTTGTCGAAAAGTTAAATTTAGTTGAAAAAGAAAACTAGTGTATGAAAGAAAAAATGAAAAGAATTGAAGAAGAGAGGATGAAACTGGAGTTGTATGTTGCTGATGTCGTCGGTGATCACAAGATCAAGATGGATGCAATGCGCTTGAAGATTAGGAAGATTAAAAAAATATGACGTTAATAAAGAGGCTTGGTATCACTACGCTGTCGGATCAATTATTCCCTTAGTTGCGATCTTGATCGCATTTGTTGTTGCATTTAAATGCTTTAGCTAGATAGTTGCATGTTTTTTATGAGAATAAGTGTGTATGAACTTTATGTATGAATTTGTATTAATTTGGTCTTTTCAGTGTTGTGTAATGAAGATGAGCCGGCAATGGATGTACGATGAGCGACGCTCTCCCATGTCGTGCATACTTTTATGCTTGTGGCCAAACAGGCACGATGGTTTTATGTGTTGTCCCTGTGCTGTCTGTAAGAATGATAAGAATTACTCTAGCTCATAAGACATTCATGTCCACCTGTTTACGTCTGGTTTCATGCCCGGCTATAACTGTTGAACCAATCACAGTTTCATGGCAGATATAGAGACGACCATGATCAAGACGAGATCATGTTCGACATCATACGCTCTCCGAACCCAGAGAATGGACCTGAAGATGACGGCTCACAATATCTGAACAATTTCGGTGAGGGAATATTTGAGGAAGAACCAAGAGACGAAGGGCACACAACAATGTCTGTGCAGGCGTGTTGCTCCTCTACGAGCCGCCTGCCGGGAATTTGCTCCTCCGCGAGCCGGTGCTCGTCGAGGAGGTGGAAGTTGTACCTATGGTCCCCTGCGTTTGCCGCAACGGCCTCTGTTCTTCCAACACCATGCCGATGTAGTGTGCCCGCACCTCGCCGATGGTGATGCTGGCATGGACAGGTGAGGACAGTGGTGCCGGTTCGTCGTGGGCCACCTCTTCCATTGGCTCATCCGCAATGCCGATGATCTATTTCTTTCATCTGCCCGTGATCTCGAGGCTATGGCAGGTGTGGTGCAGATAGGAGATAGGGAGCATAGGAGGTGGGATGTGACTGTTCCCAAGTCTAGCTTTTAAATAGCAAACGGATGCAAGGCCAAGCGGTGAAGTGTTTAATGGTGGCCGGCAGATGGACGGACAAGTGGCGTTTGCATGCAAATGCCGGAGTAGGTTCCTCGACAACCGCACATATTTAATGGAGGGAGGCAGATGGACGGGTACAGTTTGAATGCTGAGAGAGGCGCGTGGACTGGGAAGCGGCGCGGACGGTGCTCTCGGCCCCGCGTTGCTTCAACACCTGTTCCAATGAGAAACAACATCTGCTTTGGGTCGGCATGAATGCGAAGCTAATCGTTTTGGACGAGAAAGGGAGATAGTGTGGGAGAGGGTTCTGTGGGCCAAGGTTTGTCGAACGCGTGAGTGGCAGCAGTCCGGACGCCTTGAAAGCCCTCCATCCCTCAGTTTGCGAAAAAAGGACGTCCAGACCGGTCCGTAGACGAATGCGGTACTGTGTTGGATGGCAAAACACGTCCATGCTGTGCGGTCCAAACGGATGCTAGTGGTTCGGGTGTGTCCAAATGCATCCGTGAGCATTTGAGGGGCCGCATTTGCCATGTCCAGCTGTAGATGCTATAACACCACTATCCTAGGAACATACTATAATCCGAGCTCCACATGTAGCAAGTATCACACAAATATACAACATTTTCTGCATCTTAATTCTACATCCAAATTTTTGAAAAACAATTAAATATTTTTAACTCCGTACGTATCCATGGTTACGTGCCGTGCTGTATCCGAAATCACAACAAGCTCTCTCAAAAAAACTTTACAACAAAGTCAAGCACGACTCGAATCCGGTTTCATCAAAGGAAGGAAATCCGAAACCAGCAAGTATCTGTGTCTGAAGTCGGTACACACAACCTATAAATAGGCACGGCATATCCAGCTGGTCGCAATCCCCAACGACGACGCAGCGTGCGGGATCGCAGCGATTATGGATCCACAACGCATCGTCTACGGAGACTTCCCCGCGGACGTGCTGGCGAACATCCTGATGCGCCTCCCGCCCAACACCCGCCGCCGTCTCCGCCTCGTCTGCCGGCACTGGCGCCACGTCGTCGGCACGCGCACGGCCACCAGCCTGCGGAGCCGCGCCAAGACACTCGTCGCCGCCACGGGCTCAGCCTGCGTCATCGACAACCTATGGGCTCCATGGAAGCCTAGAGAGCTGTGGCCGGAATTCATGGCAGACCACTACAAGCACATGAGCGTGGTCGGCACCTGCAACGGCCTCGTCTGCCTCTGCGATGACCGGGAGCTCGGCGGCGCCATCACCGTGGCCAACCCCGCCACCGGCGAGGCGCTGAGCCTCCCACCGCTGCCACCACCGCGTTTTGATGATCAAAGCACGTGCTACGATAGGAGCTGGCACGCGGCCTACAGCTTCGCCTACCTCCCGACCTCGGGGCTGTACAAGGTTGTCCACGTCCCCTGCCACCTGGACCGGTCCGTTTACGACAGGGTGCACGTTATTACACTGGGGGAGGCTTCGTGGCGGGGTGTGCCGGCCGGCTCCGGCGCGAGATGTAGCCTCGGAGACAACGTCATCAGCGTCGACGGCGTGACGTACTGGACCACGCCGGAGGCTGACAAGGTCATGTCGTTCGACCTCGAGCACGGACGCTTCACGTCCATTAGGTCACTACCCTCCGTAGTGTTGTCCAGCTCCAAAAACGGCGGCAGCTGGCACCTAGGAGATGTGCACGGGAGGCTGGCCATCGTCTTTACCCAGCTCCCGCCGGCAGTGGAGAGGACGGAGGTCTGGGTAATGCAGGGTCGTACGGTGGGGCAGATCAGGTGGAGCTGCTCGCACATCATTCAGACGAGAACGCCGCCGTACCGGCCGCGGGAGCCGTCATCGAGAACCAAGATGCGGCGTCTCACGTGGCCGCTCCTCGTCCAGGACGAGCAGATCCTCACATGGGAGTGGTCGTTGTATGAACGAGATCATGTCTTGTACAGGCACAAACCGATTGACGACCACACAAGGAAGGCGAAGCACGGCGTAGTGGATATCAGCGAGAGGAATCGGGGGACGGTGGTCGCCGACATTAACATGTTGCCGCACCGCAACGACCGCCGGACGTTCGCCTACGTGGAGACCAAGGAACCGTTGAGTGCCTACGGGTCTCTTGTGTCACCATTTCCACTTTACATACAATCATCATCGTCGTCATTATCCCGCTCTAATCTTCCAACAAAGCGCGGAAACTACCAGCGTAGCCATTGAAGAGCTCACCACCTCGCCCTTGTGAGCTTGTTCGCAGGAAAGAGAACATATTAGCCAGATGTATGTTTTTTTAAATAATTTGGATTGATTGCCAAATGTGTCACGTGGTCAGACATATGTTAAATGGTTGTTAACCATATGTCAATTTTTCATGCCATATGTTAGATTTTTCAGTAGATTGTTTAGTTATAAATCTCAATCGATATCAATTGAGTTGTCAAAGAAGCAAAAGGACAAAAAAAATGCAAAATCTCCTTTGCTAATATCAATTTAGAGTTTAGTTAATCTCAATCGATTGACATCTAGCCTCGTCTATTTTCTTGGGCTACTTTGTTTTATTGATTAAAATAAGGCTTTCCTATGATTTTCTATTACCATAGACTTCTAGTTAACTAAAAACAGGAAACAAACCAGTCACAACTCTCATCATTATATGTTCCAAAAAACATAAAGCCAGATCGAAAGACAACCTTTTTTTTATCCGCAAGAAAAAAAAGACAACCTTTTTTTTAGTACCAAAAAGCTTTAGTCAAAAATCAATATGGCGAGGAATACATAGATGATCCGGAGGATCGCACAACCATACATATTGGCCCCTATCTAGACTAGTTGCCATCCTAGCTAGGTTATGGGGCTCACCATTACAAATGCGCTGCTCAAACTTAAACGAACAAGACTGAAAGTTTGTAACTCTATCACTAGTGTCCCTCAAAATCATGCAGTAGGGACCTAAGAAAACCGAAGCCTGAAGCTCCTTCACGACTCCCAGACACTCTGTTGCTACATTAATTTTGTGTACATGCAAGTCCTCAGCCAACGCCAAGGCCTCCCTGCATGCATGAGTTTCTAGTGTTGGGGGGTGGGGGGGCTGTCCGAAACACCCGTTAGCACCACTACCGATGCTCTGAGAAACCGGCCCTCCTCATCCCTGCAACCGCCGCCACTGCCCCCTTATTTGTTGTCTTTACTACATCACCGTCCACATTGATTTTGGTTGTACCAGCATCCGGTCTGATCCACCTTGACAGTTCAGTTACAACACTAGATGGAGCTCGTCCAAGTTGCATGACGTGATATTTCCTAATGAACATGTGTAGACCAGGCACTATGGAACTCCTCCTCATGTATCGCATGACATCGCGCCCACCATCACTAGTAGAAAACAAACCTTAGGTTTGGATCATTAGTCCCAATTTGATTTCAGCCCGGGACTAATGCAACCATTAGTTCTGATTCCAACGGCTAGGAGCGGTCGGGGGCACAAGCATCATTAGTCCCGATTCATTTTGTACCTATAGTCCCAATTTGTGATACAAACCGGGGCTAAAGGGGTGATGACAGGCTGGCGTCAGGCTGGGGACCCCACGAGCCCATTTAATCCCGGTTTGTATCACAAACCGGGACTAGAGGTATACCTTTAGTACCGGTTTGTATAACCAACCATGACTAAAGATGTGCCTATATAAACCTTTCGTCCAGCCCAAGCCCATTATGTCTGTTTTCCTCTTTCTCTCCTCTATTCTTCCCCTTGCTCGAGCTCATCCTCCATTTTTGCCAAGATTTGTCAAGATTTGAAGGCACCCCATCTATCCAAGTGTTCACAAAGGTCAGCAACTTTGTCATTTCATCTCTTATTGACAGATTAACTCGTGCAATGCTCTATAAGTATAGTTATTTGTGGGTTTTAGTTTGAGAATAATTATGTGGGAGTTTATTTGATTTATATGCAATTTGAGCTCAAATTAACTTCATAGTTTGCATATGTGTAGGTGTGGTTTACTTAGTGCCTTCCTGTCCCTGTCCTAACCACCATCGATCGCCCGCACCATCTCGTTGCCAGCACCACCTTGGTGAGCCTCCTTTTCTTATCATTTTTATAAAAAAACTTATTTGTATGATTTAGATAGTTACTTGTATAATTTTCTTACTTGTATGATTGTTTGTTATACATAGTGCCATCGTCTTGATATCCGTCCACGTTGGCCCTCGTCCGATTTATGATTCGGATGTGGTATATTCTCTTTTATAACTATTTCTTGCATTTCGCGTTTATGAAAATTATGCCCATCAAGTTGACATAGATATTTTTATCTAGAAGGTATGTGAACCGGAAATTGCAACCGACCTTCTTGTCGAGAAGTTAAATTTAGTTGAAAAAGAAAACTAGTATTTGAAAAAAAATGAAAAAAAATGAAGAAGAGAAGTTGAAGCTGGAGTTGTATGATGTCGATGTCGTCGATGATCACAAGATCAAGATGGATGCAATGCGCTTGAAAATTAGAAAGATTAAAAAATATATCGTTAATAAAGAGGCTTGGTATCACAACACAGTTGGATCAATTGTTATCTTAGTTGCAATCTTGATCGCATTTGTTGTTGCATTTAAATGCTTTAGCTAGATAGTTTTATGTTGTTTTTTATGAGAATAAGGATGTATGAACTTGTATTAATTTGGTCTTTTCGGTGTTGTGTAATAAAGATGCGCCGGCAATGGATGTACAATGACCGACACTCTCCCCAGTTCATTGATGGCGTGCATACTGTTCTGCTCACGGCTGAGGCAAACAAGCATGATGATTTTATGTGTTGCCCATGTGTTGTCTGTAAGAGTGATAAGAACTACTCTAGCTCAAGCATGATGATTCACGAACACCTGTTTATGTCTGGTTTCATGTCCGGCTATAACTGTTGGACCAAGCACAGAGAAAGAGGGATTCTAATGGAAGAGAATGAAAAAGAAGAGGATGATGACAACTATCATAGGTTCCTTGAATACGATGGTACTACAATGGGGGAAGAAGCTGAAGAAGAGGCATCAGATGAGCCCGTTGATGATCTTGGTTAGGCCATTGCTGATGCAAAGAGAAAGTACGCAAGTGAAAAGGAGAAGTTGAAGTTGCAGCGCATGTTAGAGGATCACAAGAAATTGTTGTACCCAAATTGCGGAGATGACAAGAAAAATCTTGGTACCACACTGGAATAACCCACCTAGCATGGAAGATACTGACAGCCTCCAGTCGCTACATGAGCGATTCGGGCATACAAAACAGATTATTATTTGAAGGTTTAGAGTTTGGGATATGAAAATTTACTTGGAACGGAAGGTAAATACCGCATATAGATAGGTATGGTGAAATCATATGGAATGACTTTGGGTTTAAGGAAGTGGATGCACAAGCAATATTCCGGCTTAGTACAAATGAAGGCTATCGGAAGGATTGGGGAGCAACCAACTAGAGAGCGACAACGGTCATAAACATGCATTGAGGTTAATCGACATTGAATGCAAGCATGAGTAGGACATAAATCACCATAAACATAAATATCATGGAGGCTATATTGATTTTGATTCAACTACATGTGTGAACATGTGCCAAGTCAAGCCACTTGAATTATTCGAAAGAGGACACCATCCTATCATACTACATCATAACCACTTTAAAAGCATGTTGGCACACAAGGTAAACCATTATCCACTCCGACCTAATTAAGCATGGCATGAGTAACTATAATATTTAATTGTCATTGCAAACATGTTTCATTAATAATGGGTTGAATCAAGAACGATGAGCTAATCCTATTTACAAAAACAAAATAGGTCGAGTTCGTACCAGTTTTTCTCCATATCAATCATTTCATCATATATCATCATTATTGCCTTTCACTTGCATGACCGAGCGGCGTGAATAATAATAGGTGTGCACGTGGATTGGACTAACCTGGAGTCTGCAAACATTTATTCAAATGAGAAGACAAGCTAATATGGGCTCTTTGTTAGATCAACAATAATGCATATGAGAGCCACTCAACATTTTCATCATGGTCTTCTCCTCACGGCCCAAAGAAAAGAAAAGAATTTCGAAGAAACACGCTGAAATATTTTTAGAGTTTTTGTTTTTCTGAAGAAAGTAAAAACGAAAATGAGAAAAACTATTTACACGGGAAAGCTCCCAACAAGTGAAAGAAGAAAGAGAAATCTTTTTGGGTTTTCTTTTAATACTACGACTAATTGAACAAGAAAGAAAAACTAAAAAGAAGCGAGAAATATTTTTGGATTTTATCAAAGTTTTTCGAACACACAAGAAGAAAGCAAGAAAAATGAACTAACATGGATAATACAATGAAAAAGTATGAACACCGACAACTGAAATGAATGTGTGATACATGAATGTAATGTCGGTGAGAAATACATACTCCCCCAAGCTTAGTCTTTTGGCCTAAGTTGGTCTAGGGCCAAGGCTCAAAATAACCCTTTCCTCGATACGGCGGAGGGTCCTGAGGGTTCCACTGGTTGGCGAACTCCTGTGGCTTCCACTGATAAATAGGCTCCTGATACGGATCAGGAACTGATGCTGGCTCAGGTGATGGTGGTTGTGTCAGCCTCCAGTGCGTGTAAATGTGCTCGGGCATAATGGTGTACCTGCCTGAACGAATATTGAACAAAGAAGGAGCATGCAAGGTAATAATCTCACAAGTACCCCGACTAAATACTAAGTTGTAGAGGAGTCGCCTATCATCATATTTGGCAATAAAATCATGTGCTATCATACTAACATAGTTTAAATATTTAGTTGGTAACAACATCTCCTCCTTCTCATCATGCCTAATGGGTATCTCAAAATGTTTTGCAAGGCGGGAGGCATAGACACATCCAAAAATAGTACCCTTCGAGCGGTTCATGTTCAACCTTCGAGCAACAATAGCGCCCAAACTAAAAGTTCTTTCAGCATATAAAGCATGGCACAATATGGCAAGGTAAGGGGCACCGAGGCCTCCACTCTCCCCATGACCAATCAAACGTCTCCCAGAAAATAATGAATAATAGCGTAAAACAGGAAAAGTGTAAACTAGCCACTCTCACTTCCGACACCCCTCTCTCTTCCCCCATAGTAGTTTCAGTAAGGAAATCCGCCACATCCCTAGGACGTGGCTCACTGATGCTGCCCTCATAAGGTATTTTGCAAACATCGCAAAAATCAAATAATGTCATCTCCTTAGGC